CGCGGGGGCCCCGCGGCCGTGAGGGGACGCGGGGCGCCGAGGACCCCGCTCGCCACGACCGGCAGAGCAAGAGGGACCCGCCGGAGCCTCCCGCGCGGCGCGGGGCCGTCCTTACCTGCCGCCTCCATGGAGGCCGCCAGCTGCCCGTTCTTCTTGGCCGTCACGTACTTGCCGTTGGCGGCCTTGAGGGTGATGCGCTTGTCGCACCACTCGATGTCGAAGTAGCAGCTGGCGTTCCTGCGGGGACAGCGAGCGGGACGCTCAGCGCGGAGCCTCCGCGTGCGCCGGGTTCGCTAGCTCCAAAGAGCATCACCGAGCGCACCTGGGCAGCCTCCAAGCTGCCAAACTAGATACGGGCTTTTGGGATTTGTTGGATTTGTTCGGGTTAACCTCTAATGCCAGGCGAGGCTGCACGGACTATCCCAACAAGTGGGTTCTCAAACATTTTGCCGAGCCTGGCGTGCCGGGAAGTATGATGTGACCCAAGGGAATTCCCGAGCCTCTCGGGACAAGCCCAGGCTCAGCGCTGCCTTTCCAAGCACCACGTTTTCCTGCAGGGAAGTGTCCCGGGGTGAGTGTCTGGGCTCGCCTGCTGCCTGTAGCAGCTCCAGGAATCCCTGTGCCCCCGGGGATGGGGCGGCTGCTCCCCACCCCTTTTTTTTTGTCCCCACCGTAGCCGGTTCCCCCCACGCGATCCCAGGACTCACTTTGTGGAGGCCGTGGACTGGATGCCCCCGTTGGAGGTGAGGGTCCAGTACTTGCCAGTGTAGGTCCGGAAGGCGCATTTCTTGGTGTCCTTGTTGATCTCCAGCTGGTAGGTCTCCTGGTCGCCCTCCTCGTCCTGGTTGGCCGAGAGGTCCATCCCTGCGGGGGCGGCAGTGAGGGGCGCGCAGGGCAGCGGGGTCCCGCTCGCGGGTGCTCGTGCTGGGGCTCGCTCGGGGCTCCGAGCTCGCCTGGGAGCTCGTGAGCTTGGCAGACCCTTTTCCCTAGGAACACTTAGGGACGTTCTGCACCTCGTGCAACGCGAGTCGGCTGCAGGCGCCTCTTTAAGCGCACCCAGGGCCGCAGCGAGGTCTCCCAGGTCCCCTCCCACCCAGGCCCCTGTCCCCATGCTGCCACTGCGCTGCCTTCTGCTTCCTCATACGCTGCCACCTCCGGCACTGCAAGATGCAGCAGGAGCTGCAGGTTTTGGAGCTTGCAGCTCGTTTGCACTGGGAATCCAGGAGCGAGGTCCTCCCCGCTCATTTGGGAAGGAGCTGAGCTTCGACAGAAGGAACCAGCGCCTTTCCAGTGGGAGCATTTCACTAGATGGGCAGCATTATCCTTTGAAATGGAAACTCCATCCCTGTCACCCCGCCACGCTGCGTCACAGCCGCCTACCCGGCGGCTCCAGATCCGTGTCTCCAAGCGGATCCACACTGGGAGCGCAGCCTGCGGGCTCGGGCCTGGCAGCACTTTGCATAGGTGCCCCCCAGCCCAACGAAGGGACGCGGCTTTGAAGGCTGCGCTTTGTTGTCCCTATCTTATCTCCCAGGCTGAGCTGGAGCTGTCCTGGCACCTCCACAACGGGGCCCATTGATGCTGCCTTGTTTGCATTAGCCACCCTTGTAGCTGCCCAGGTGCAACAAGCTGCCCAAAGAGCTGCAACCCCCGGGTCGCCTCCCTGCCAGGGGGTCCGGGGCCCTGCACCCCTCGCCATGGGGCAGTGAGAAGGGGGCAAAGAGGGGGCCAGAATGGGCTCTGCAGTGGTTTGGGCTGCGCAGGGGATGCCGAGGGTTGGTGACGGAGGCGCTGAGCGGGCCGGGATGCCAGCGGAGGCTGGGATGCCCCGGAGCAGGCAGGGATGCAGGGGGAGTCCCT